TATATATATACATATGCATTATATATATATAGTTTTAAGTGCAGAATGGCTTTGAGAAATACAATTCTAAGAACTAGCCAATACATATCTTATGGTGGTGAACAAATGGCTGAGGAGAAGAAAGAGCACTCTTTCTGCTTACCCCCTGATGAAGAGCATATCTGAGCATCATCTTTGCATCCTGTGATTGTATTCATCAAGATAACTAGTCAAAAGAACTGAAAACTTATATGGGGTTCAGAAATTGGAAAATACTCCCAACCTCAACATCCTCATTGCTGTGGATCTAGATTCCTTCCAAGCCACACATTAGAGTGGTAGAGGCAGGAGAAGAATTTCAATGTATGTGAAATTAACCAGGAAAGCATGTGATTAGACTGCACCCTACACTGAAAGAAGCAGTTGGTCTGCCTGCTCATCCTAAGTCAGCAGGAACCCCACCACTATCAGCATAAGAAAAAGTCCATGCTTCAGTCTGCATACAACTTCATGTACCCCAGGAGTCCTGGTGTTGGAAGTTTGTCCCTAGGGAGCTGCTGCTGGGCAGTATTAATACCTTTAAGTGACAGGGTCTACTTTACTCACAACCTTCAAAAATATGGGTTCTTATGGGAATTCTTAGTAGTTCTAAAAGGAAATTATTACAAAAGGCTGAGACCAGCCACCTCTAGCTTTACCTGATCTCCTTTTCAAGATGTTATGCTGTTAAACAGCCCCACAACAATATAATACCATTATACTGTTAGGCCCACACTGGAGGCACCACCCACCACCACTAGGGCTCTGATCCTCCAGATATGAGAGATGAAGAAATATCTTTACTTTAAGCTATGCTGCCTCAAGATTTTTCACTACATTAATGGTAAGCTGAGTTATCTAGTCTAAATATGAATAGGACAATGATTATACTGAACTTATAAAATTTCATGTGTCTGAATAAACATGCTCAGTCATCAGAATTCTATAGCATTCAATGTGGGCAGAAATGGTTCCTTCATAATTTCAAAGCCATCAATGTTTATCTTATTTGTTTATGGAAGAACAGCTAGAGAGTGGCATGTATAGTCTGTAAATATCTAACCAATTATCTTCACCTTTAAACTACCCAGATTTCCCCATGTGCATTTATATTGTTCATATATGAACTCTTAGTGACATAGAGCAAATATGGAACTTGGCCCAGGATACAACTATGTGGCACAGACATTTTTAAGTTTCAAATCTGTATATGTGAATTACTCAAATACCTCCAAGAAATTGGTCTATGTATTAAGTAAAAATTGTACTTTTTTTCAATGGAAAAAAAATCTACCTAAAACATTTTAGATAACTATTTTAGGTAAAATTCCTCAATATTAAGACACCTATGCCTAATATATATGTACATCTATGTGTGTAAGCATACATGCACAAACATAGAGAGACATAACAATTATAAACTCCTAAGTTCATACAAAATAAAAAAATATGAAAGTTTTTTTAATTCACATCGTTACCTGCCATGTGTCAGGGATAAAATCCTGGACCCTGGGGTCTGGATCTTTTCTTTCTTCTCGTATCAAGCAGTGACCCATATATTGTAGTTGGAACCGAGCTGGCCCAATACCAACTGAATATTTATTCTTTTTCTTCTCCTTTATGTCAGCTCCTGCATCCTATATTGTTTTAAAAGATTGTTTTGAAAGTAATTTTAAGTGATTTCACCATGTAAATAATTGAAATATTTATGGAGTACTTTCTATATGAAAATAATTTTAATCACCTTTTAAACACCATGAAGATTTTACTACTTAAATCATCTTCCAAAATATGAATAAATTAGTAGATGTCCATATTTTCAAATATTTAATCTAGTATTTGTGGCTACAACTTACATAATTAAAATAATTAAACAAGCACTACAGATTTGTTTTGTTAGAATTAAAGATAGGGTTAGAGTTAAGTGTTTGTGTAAATTATCTAACATTTAATCTGAATTTCCAAATTTTGTACAAGATTTCAAATTCTATTTTAACTCAAATTTGGGCAGATGGATTAATTAAAATGGTAATATTTTATGTAAAAAAGAACTAAAAGAGATAGTTGTTTTTGCAGGACACCTTATATATACTTAATAACTGTTCAATTAAAATGAAGCTGTCCTAGTATATTACCTGGTTTGGATGTAAAGAAGTTGCTAGCTCATTAAATCCTAAATACTTAAGACATCGGGCTATGAGTTTCCAATCTGCTTCTTGCAGAAGTTCTGAGTATTTGTCCATCAAGGAGTGGATCCTTTTCATCATTTCAACAGCTATGCTAAAGTCTCTTTTTATTTTACCTTGTTAAAAACATAAATCATAAAACTGTTATAAAATCCATCGAAATAAATTTTTATTATCCGAGATCAATCATCTAGTCTATCAATCTTAATTTAAATTAATCTCATTGTCTTCCTTGGCATTAATGAAGGTTTTAAAGTTAAATAAAAACCTTGTAGTTCAAGATTTTAAAAAGATTGTTAAAACTGAAGTTTATATAAGTTTATAAAGAATAAGAAATCTTTTCACCATCTCAATTATTTTCATGTCTCCTCCACTATGTTCAAAATTAAAAATTTATATGATTTTAAACATATGGTTAAAATCTTAGCAATAGTCACCATTGACCATAGATAAATATTTTATGTAATCCCTGGGTCCTTTCAAATAATTCAGTCCATGTATTCCAACTCCCAGATCCAGGTTTGATAATCACTCTCCACCTCTCTAGAGTCATATACATACCTTTTACTCCTCCCCTCTGCTAATCTTATCACAGTGACCACATCAGAGCTGTTTTGGTTCTACTTTCAAATCAACATACTTCTGTTTAATATGTATTATCAAGTCCCTACTGAATGCTATTGTGTAATAGGCTGTTTAGGAAATCTAATAGAGTTTTTACCGTCCAGGAGATTCAGTTCACCTACAGAATATATGATATTTGTTTGGACCATGCTGAGCATTAGAAACTACAGATGTTATGTGATCCTTGTTAGATGTGCCTTGTGTAAGTTCTGACTAATGCTAACAAAGCAAAAGTTGCTGATGGCCAGGAAAGCTCATTAAAAGAGAAATAGAGGGCTGGAGAGATTTCTCAGTGGTTAAGCACACCACTGCTCTTCTCTTACAGAGGACCAGAGTTCGGTTCCCAGCACCCATGTCTAGCAACTCAAAATCACCTATAAGTACAATTCCAGGGGATCCAATGCCTTATTCTGGACTCTATGGCCACCCCTCCCCTACACATGTACATAAATAAAAAATAAAATAACTCTTTTTAAAGATAGAGCTGCAAAGAGAAGTTTTGTTCTCTCCCCAATCTGCTGATAATTACTAGAATATACTCATTTTGGGAAATAAGGCAGTTGGAATGGATGCCAACTGCCAAAGATAAAGGAAGGCAGAGACAGATGAATGTGGGACACCAATGACACTGTGGGCTGTGTGCTGCCTGTGTGGCAGGAGAGTGGGGTGCAGAGTGGGGTGCAGAAGGGTCGTGAAATGGGCATATAAAAGAATCCAGTTGACAGAAAGAAAGACTGAAAACCTCGTAAGACCAGCGTGTACCAACAGAGCATGCCCAGAAAAGCCTCGGTGAGCAAATGGGGAGAAAGCTAGAAATACGTAAATGTCCTATAAAGAAAGGGTCAAGACTCTGGGCACAGGCACAGGGCCACTGAGTTTCTGACCTTTCTCCCTGCTCCAAGGCACATCCTCTCCTGGAAACACTTATTTCTTTAAAAACTGCCTTTGCTTCTACCAATATCCATGTGTCCTGTCCAATTTCTTGTTCCAGGACAGAAGAATCTGGGAATCCCACAGAGGACTTTGATATCAGTCTATAACACTCACAGGTGAACTTCATCTAAATGAGTGAACTAAACTACTATATTCTTTAAGCTAGTCTTAATTCTGGTATCTGTTAGTTTTATCCAACTGCAAATCCTTGGTTAGTGAGACAGACAAACATAAACTAAGGCAAGACATACACTTCTTACCAGGATAAAATGTACAGTGAGAGGCTGGCTAGCTAGAGCAAACTGAAGGTAACAGAATAAAATTTAGGGGTGCAGTGGAGAAGAAGCTGAGCCGTGCATTGAAAGGATTCAAGTATGGAAATGCGGAGGATTGACAATCCAATCAGATTTACTTAAAAGAACTCTTAAAGATTTTTGCTATTGAGGGCTGGAGAGATGGCTCAGCGGTTAAAATTACTGGCTGCTCCTGCAGAGGACCCAAGTTTGATTCCTGTCACCCACATGGCAGCTAAACAACCATCCATAACTCCGTTTTCAGGAGATCTGACAAGCTCTTCTGGCCTCCATGGGCATTTCACAACACAGGTGCACTTACACACATGCAGGCAGTACACTCATACACATAAAATAAAAATAACCAATAAAATATTTTAAAAAGATTATTGGTATTATAAAACAAGATCATTTCACTGCTGTCATTTATACAATTCTACCCAATCCTATTTCACAGTTAACTTCCTCTTTCTGTCTCTTTTCTTTACTAATACCCTAGATAGAAATTGTAGAGTACGTGGAATCCCCACCATCTTTGGAAGAACTCTCTAGGTAGCTGTGAGAGTGTCCATTGTCAACCTGACAGGATCTAGAATCACCTGAGATATGTGCTCTGAACATGCTTATGAGGGATCATCTTCATTAGGTTAATTAATGTGAGAAAACCCATCTTAATTGTGAGCAATACCATTCCCTGGGTTGGGATTCTGTACTGTGTAATATGGAGAGAGTGAGCTAAGTACACATTCATCACTCTGCTCTCTGATTATGAATGTGATGCTGCCAGCTGCTCCAAGCTCCTGCCAATTTGTCATCTGCCCTCCCATGATGGACTGTACACTTGAACTGTGAGTGAGCCAAAATGAACCCTCTCTCCATTAAGTTCCTTTTGTATCACAGCAACAAAAGGGAGATAAGACAGTAGGCAATCATAAATAACAATGTACATAGAAATAAGATGTGTAAAGTGAATGACACTTTCCTCTATGCCTCACTGTCTGTTCTTGTTTACATTAGCAACGCCCTCTACCTACTTAGTAGCTATTGTTTAAAAAAAATTTATGTATATTAGTGTTTTACTGCATGCAGTGTTTGTGGAGACAAGTATAGGGAGTAGGAACCCTTGGAGCTGGAGTTACAGATGGTTATTAGCCATAATATGAGTGCTAGGAACCAAACCCTGGTCCTCTGGAAGAAGCGCTCTTAATCACTGAGTCATCTCTCCATCCCCATTAAGTAGCTATTTTTAAATCTATCTTGATTGTGTTTTTGAATGTGCTGTGTCTTTGCTGTTGGCACCTGTGCTGGATAGCTTTAGTGTCAACTTGACACACCTGGGTTGAGGGAACCTCAGTTGGGGAATTTCCTCTATTGGACTGGCCCATGGCCGTGTCTGAGGGGCATCTTCTTGATGAGTGATGAGTGGTGGGAGAGCCACCACTGTGGGTGGTGCCACCCCTGGGCAGGTGGGCTTGTGTTGCATGAGAAAGCAGGCTGAGCAGGGGCCAGGGGAGTAAGCCAGCAAGCAGTGTTCCTCCATGGCCTGTGCTCCAGCTCCTGCCTCCAGGTTCCTGTCCTGAGTTCCTACCTTGGGCTCCCTGATGAACTGTGATCCGGGAGATGTAAGATAAATAAACCCTTTCCTCCCCAAGTTGGTAGTGGTCAGAGTGTTTTGTCACAGCAATGAAGGACAAACTAGGACACACCCTTCCTTAAATGTCGTTGCTCATTGATAAAATAGAGGCAATAATCCTGCATATAAGCCTTATTATGCAAACTTCTAGTTACCAAGTGAAAACCATCACCATTGCATTTGTACATTGCATACTATGTTTGTAGCTCTCCAGCTCATCAAAATAAGCAAACAGAATTACATGCCATGTACCTTCAGCTTGACAGTGTTCTTTCCACATTTTCAAGCAAGCTGTTAACCCTACTCTTTCAACCTGTACTTTCACTGAGTTACTTTTACATGATTTTAAAAAATCTTCCAGCTTCTTTATTCCAGAGATTAAATTCTTTTTCATTTCTTCCTCAATAGATAATGACAGAGTTGTCCATTTTTGCTCTTCTTTTTGTTCTTCCTTGGCAAGTAACCTCTTCTTATTCTCTCTAGCAATTATTTCGGCCTTGGTCTCCTGTCCAGATGAAAAGAACATATCTTGGTCAGTTGGATATATTCCCAGTTGATACTTCATGAATATATTTTTAAGCTGTACTGATGATTTTAACGATCATCCCATACTTGAATAGGCATAAATTTTGTTTTTTGAAATTAAGACTTTGTTACTTAAAAAGTTATTAGTAATACAATTTTGTAGGTATAAAAGCTTCCTGTAGATAACTTTCTAGATTTCTGACTGGCACGGATTATCAAAGAGTAAATGTAGTGAAATCAAGGAGACTTCTGGGCCTGTTCTTTCATGTCTCCATGCACTGACACCTGCTGCTCTCTCTGGGGCTGACTTTCGGCTCCTTTGCTCCCAAGTTTCCTTCTTATTCCCTGCCTGATTTAAGATGATTCTACCATGAAGTCCCCTCTGAGTCTCTCATGCCAGCATCATGAATTAGTCCTTTGTGGAGCATCTATCAAACCACTCATTGAGACATCCCATGTCTGTAACTGTTCATGTTATTCCTCCTCTTAAGACTGACATCTTTGAGACAAGATTGTGCCTAAGTTGCTGGATGTCCCAAACCAAAAACATTTAATCCACAATGTTTAAGGAGTGAATAAGAGAAAGGTGATGGAAAAAAAGGGACCTGTTTATAGTTCCAATTGACTTAAATATAACATGGACCACTTTTACAAATTCACTTACTACTTTACACAGGTATATTAGAGAACCAGTGAGTTAGCTCAACGGGGAAGGGCACTTGCCAAGTAATCCATTTAAAAGTGCAAGGAGAGAACACCACAGAGTTGTCCTCTGACCTCCACACACACCATGGCACACATGCCCCCACATACCACACAAGCATACACACACAATAATAAATAAAATTAGAATTTCAAAATCAAAAATTAGAGAATTATATGGAATTATAGGTAAATGTTTACTTATAACAAAATCAACTTTAGATGCCAAGTTATCTAAGCATTTAATTCCAATCAATAATATTTGAGCTCTCCCAATCTTTAATCTTGCAAAGAAGTATTCTGTGTTGACTCTATTTGGCATGTTTTTTCTCTGTAGGACAGTGGGGGGCCTTGGACTTTTGTCATGTATAATGCTCAATTTACTTTGAATGTGAAGACTTATTAAGCTGTGTTTATAGAGTATGTTTATAACATACTAAGCATGTTGAATTTTTTGAAATAATTTAATTTTTCATAATGGCAAGGGAAAAATATTTAATTTTTTAAAATTTTCCTAGCTTATTCTATAGATAAGAATTTTTGCTCATTTGCTATTTTTTTAATTTTTGAAATTTTATTTTATGTGCATGAGTGTTATGTCTGCATGTGAGTAAGTGCACTCATGTCACGCAGTGCCGGCCGAGGACAGAAAAGGGCATTGGTTCTCCTGGAACTGAAATTGCAGATGGGTTTTACCTGCCATGTGGGTGTTGAGAATCAAACCCAGATCTTCTGCAAGAACAGCCAGTGCTCCTAACCACTGAGACATCTCTCCAGTCTCTGGAGAGATAGAGACAGAGACCAAGACCAGACACAGACAGAGAGGAAGGAAGGGGGGAGGAGGGGGAGGTGGAGAGGGATGGGACCAGGTAGACAAGGACAAGGGATGGGAAGCGAGTCTCCTTCCTTCTCCTTCTGTTCCTCATTCTCCCAAATGAAAAGGTAGATGTTTCACTGAGTTGGGTAAAAGCTGAAAAGGTCATCATCACGAGATAGAAACAGCATCACACAGGTAGGCATCACCTGTCCTGATCAGTCAGTCAAAAGTTGAAGCAGTCACCATTTCTAACTGAACTTTTGAAACAATTCAATGAAAAAGGACTCACAAAAGCTTTAGGAGCAAATAATTTGTGGTTTTTAATATTACTTCTGTTACTTCTTGAACTGACGCCTGTCGTTCAATTTCGAAACTTTAAGTCCCTACTTTTTAATTACATACCAGTCAAAAATAACACTTTGTTTTAAAATCTTGCCAAAATTTCCCCAAATATAAGTATCTAAGGATGAGCCTTTAAAAATACTCTTGTTTTCTCATGTGCGAAGATCTCCCAGGCCTCATTTCTGGTAATTTCACCATGCTGACCTCCTTTGATAAGGCAGACATGGCACAATTCCCTTGTTAATGATTGTGTTGTCACTCTCCAATATATTAAAACATTGTCTTTTAAAAATATTTTATTTGCCGGGCGTGGTGGCGCACGCCTTTAATCCCAGCACTAAGGAGGCAGAGGCAGGTAGATCTCTGTGAGTTCAAGGCCAGCCTGGTCTACATAGTTCCAGGACAGCTGGGGCTACAGGGAGACCCTGTCTCAAAAAGACCAAAAAAAATTTTATTTCTTATTTTTATTTTATGCATATGAGTGTTCTGCTTACATTTATGTAAGTGCACCACATGGATGCAATGCATGCAGAGGCCAATAGAGGTTGGCAAATCCCCTAGGACTGGAGTTACAGAAGGTTGTTAGCTGCCATGTGGGTACTAGGAATCAACATGGGTCCTCTGCAAGAACAGCAAGTATTCCTAACTGCTGAGCTCTCTCTCCAGCCCCTAAAACACTGTCTTAAGAGAATCTTTTAGTTAAAATAAATACCCTTTCCCAATCCTTAGTTTTGAGGCCCACTGATTCTATTCAGTTGCACATTATTTTAAAGATAGCAAAGTATGGCCCTCACCTAAAGTCAGCAAATTATTAAGTACAGTTTTAACAAAGGATTCTATACTTACACAGTAACATTATCATAAATGCTATCAAATAATTCTCACATCATGATATCGGTATTTTATTTCAGAACTAAATTTGAACTCCCATTCCCTATATTTTATCTTCATTTATGGATCTTGGATAGAAACATATAGAAAAATCACAGAAAGTAAAATTATAGAGATTCAACCCATATAGGAAAGGGAATGAATAGCTCTGCTTTCCCATCTAAAAAAGATGATGAATTAATTTTAAATACTTTAGGAAAGGTGCAGATAATCTGTACAATTCAATAAAAAATAAACAAGAATTTCATGTTTTCTTTTGCTGTATGTTTAAAAAAATCTTTCATTGACATAAACTAATAAACTGTTTTTGTTAGTGCTAATTGTTAAGCCAACTCTTTAGTTTCTCAATGTTTTATTTTCTTTCTAAGTAAGTATATATGTTATTATACAGAGACGATTCTATGTAGCAATTTATATTCAGATTAATATTTCTTAGCAAGTAATAAAATTAATATGATTACTTATATTTTTAAAAGGCCTCTAATGAAAGAAACCAGCAAAGGAATGAGCAAACATTGGCTTAAACAAAACATAAACAAGAGTTGTCTTTTTTCATGATAGATTTACAGAAACTTACATGTGCTCTTTTGTTCTTAGTCTCATTAAAATTCTTTGTTGCCTTAGCATCCTGAGTTACGATGAGCTTTGAAGAGACTGATTCTAATGAGTTCCCATAAAATCGTTGAAAAACGTTATACTTCTGGTAGCTCTTAAGAGCACGGGGGTCTCTGCAATTCTCTAAAGAAGAAAAAACTTAAAATGCAGCATTACTGTATTTTTGAAGCAGTGTTCCCTCTAATTCTTCACAGCATTCCCCCCCCCCAAAAAAAAAAACATACAGGAACTATTCTTTCTAGTGTGGAACAGTAACCTTGGCCAAAAAAGAACTCTTAAATTGGGCTATCTCGTCTGTAGAATAATTATTTAACTCACTTAAAGGATAGAGGTGACAATTTTCTTTTTCTTTTTTTTCTTTTTTTAAATTCTATCACTACTGGAAATGAACCCAAGATCTCATGCAAGAGCTCTACCACTGAGCTACAATCCCCAGCAGTTCAATCCATAACACTTACTCATGGCTACTTCTAAAAGCAAATATCAAGAGTGATTTTTTAAAATATTTTTATTTATTATTTTCATTTTTTATGTGTAAGCATGTATTGCCTGCATGTAGGTAAGTGCACCTGTGTCGCGCAATGCCCGCAGAGGTCAAAAGAGGCAGTCAGATCCCCTGGAACTGGAGTTACAGACAGTTGTTAGTTGCCATGTGGGTGCTGGGATTCAAACCCAGGTCTTCTGAAAGAACAACCAATGTTCTTAACAGCTAAGCCATCTCTCCAACCCAAGAGTGATATTTTTTAATTGATGAAATTTGTTCTTTGAAAATTCATACATATATGTATATTATACTCTGATTACTCTCACCTCCACTCATTTTATAGAACTCCTAAACCTGTCATCTCTCCCTCCTACCTACAAGCTTCTTTTTTGCATTCATTTTGTTTTGTTTTGTTTTGTTTTGTGACCCATTAATTTTAACCAGGCCCATCAGTGTATCCATAGGTTTGGAACGATTTTCAATGTAGCCTCATGGGCTCACCATATGGTACACGACTGAACAAATGACTATCCCTCCCCCAGAATCCATTATTTGTATTGATATTAGATCTTCTTTGAAGAACTAATAGTTCTGGTAGAACCCTATGCTGACTCCATCTGCTCCTGGGTTCTTTTTATTTGGGAGATTACATGATCCAACCAATCCATTACTAATCCTGTCCGTAGATGCAAAGGATTCTACATCTTCTACAGAGATACCTGCTCATCCATGTTCATTGCTGCTCTAGTCATAATAACCCAGAAATGGAAACAATCTAATGTCCATAAACTGATGAATGGATAATGACAGTATGGTATATTTACACCATGGAATATTATTGAGCTATTAAGAAAAAAATTTAAAGAAAAACAAAAATTAAAAAAGGAAAACAAAAAATTTAAATTCCCAGGTAGCTGGATGAATCTGGAAGCAATCATTCTAAATAAAGTAACACAGACACATAAAGACAAACAACACATGTTCTGTCTCATAAGAGGATGCTAGTTTTGAATCTTTAGGTGGATATGCTTCATTGGAAAAATCCATAGATGTCAGGAAACTAATAAGGGGCAATGGGGAGGGGGAGATGTGGGAAGGGGGTTAGACTACAGTGGTATAAAGAGGAGGCAATAATGTAATGGGAAGGGTTAAATAGTGGTGAATGGAGGGTAAGGCCGAGAAGGGAGTAAAGGAAAAGATAACACTAAAGGTCTTTCAAAAAACTCACATGGAAACCCACTAACTGTAGAAGCTTCTTAAAACAAACACATATACAATATAAAAAGAGATTAGAGACATTCACCCTTCCATCTCCTCCGCTGTTCTCTACTCCTAGTTTGGGCCCTGCACCATTCCTGGTCTTGGGGCCCCTGACACCTGGGGAACCAATACTGCTTCCTGATCCTTTTCAACCAGACCAGCTTAGTGCCTTTCTTGGGCCCCAGGAGCACCATTCTGGACCTGGCCCCGCCCTCACCTCTCTCTGCTTTCCTGGACCTGCATCACCGGCTAACTCTCCTAGCCTGCACTCCAATCCTCAGGCCTCTTGGGGTAAGTCTACAGCGCAGCCCTCCGCGCCTTGACTCTCCCAGCCACATTCACCCTTCCATCTCCCCTGCTGTTCTCTACTCCTAGTTTGAGCCCTGCGCCATTCCTAGTCTTGGGTCCCCAGACACCTGGGGAACCAATACTGCTTCCTGATCCTTTTCACCCAGACCAACTTACTGCCTTCCTTGGGCCCAAGGAGCACCGCTTCTGGACCTGGCCCGCCCTCACCTCCCTCTACTTCCCTGGTCCTGCAACACCTGCCAGCCTCTTTCTGGGCCTGACAGCCTCTTTCTGGGGCTCCAAGGCTTACCTTTCCTCTCCCCAATCCTTTGCATCCAGTACGACCCAGCTACTCAATCCACTCTCTGGGAAATCTTGGGGCTTCTTCCCACCCCATCTGCCTTTGCGTCCCTGCATGGCACAGCCATGGCCAGGGTTTCAGATCAGTCCAACACCCAAGTTCCTGATGCCAAAATCATTCTTAGAAGATTCCAGACCTAAGGAGAAAGTGTGAAAACTTCTGACCCACATTGGAATTGGGCCACCACGGAACTCCTGAAGACAAAAATCAATCCGGCCATGACAATATAAAATCAAAAGAGAGAACCAGAAGCTTAGACGAACCAGCTCTTCAAACCCAAAAAGTAAACCACAAAGACACATAAAGTTCAAAAAAAGAAGCAGAACTGAACTTGAAGGCCCGAATATCACACAAGAGTCAGAAACTACAAAAGAAATTCACATGTCAGAATCACAGAGAAAAAATAATAACATGAAAAACCAAAATAACATATCCCCACCAAATACCAGTAATCCTCTAGAGGAGCACAATGAGAACCCCCTAGAGACAATGCAGGACATGGAACTCAAAAGAACAATGATGAATATGATAAAAGAATTCAGTG